TCGTGTAACTTTGCGCGATATTCAAAACAAACAAACATTTTGGTTTTATGATATAGTAAACCAATTTATTTGCACTTTCCGGGATCAAAATAAGCCCCTCTCACAAAAATAAAAGAATATTTTAATATTTCAGTTACAGGATTGATCCTATAATTACTTCTGTTAAGGCACTTTTTAACTATTCAAAGTATTTGGCTTCTGTATATGCATGACTAGGACTTTGAAACAAAGTTTGCATTTAAGAAACATTATAAAAATAATATTCATATTGAAAAGAATTATGCTTTCAGTGTAGATATTTTGTTTTATCCTGCATCTATTTGTCATCTAAAGAAACGAAGTAGCACATATATATTTATAGTTTTCTTGGTTGCGTGTGTGATCGATACACAATTTAAAACGTGCTGATATGATCTTTTGATCGAAACACAGGCTGTGACATTCTGATATTGTCCTTTGATTGAAACACGGGTTGTGACGTGTTGATATTATCTTTGGATTGAAACACGGGTTGTGACGTGTTGATATCATATTTGGATTGAAACATGAGTTGTAACGTGTTGATATTATCTTTTGATTGAAACACGGGTTGTGACGTATTGATATTATCTTTTGATTGAAACACGGTTGTGACGTTTTGATATTATCTTTCGATTGAAACACGGGTTATGACGTGTTGATATTATATTTCGATTAAAACACGGGTTTTGACGTTTTGATATTACCTTTCGATTGAAACACGGGTTGTGACGTGTTGATATTATCTTTCGATTGAAACACGGGTTGTGACGTTTTGATATTATCTTTCGATTAAAACAAGGATTGTGACGTTTTGATATTATCTTTCGATTAAAACAGGGATTGTGACGTTTTGATATTATCTTTCGATTAAAACACGGGTTGTAATGTGTTGATATTATCTTTCGATTGAAACATGGGTTGCAACGTTTTGATATTATCTTTCGATTAAAACACGGGTTGTGACGTTTTGATATTATCTTTCGATTGAAACACAGGTTGTGACGTTTTGATATTATCTTTCGATTGAAACACGGGTTGTGATGTGTTGATATTATCTTTCGATTGAAACACGGGTTGCGACGTTTTGATATTATCTTTCAATTGAAACACGGGTTGTGACATGTTGATATTATCTTTGGATTGAAACAAGGGTTCTGACATGTTGATATTATCTTTGGATTGAAACAAGGGTTGTGACATGTTGATATTATCTTTGGATTGAAACAAGGGTTGTGACGTGCTGATATGGCTTTTGATAAACCGCATTGGAAAAATGTCATTGCATTACCTTTGAAGATTTAAAGAGAGTTTTCTTGTATAACAAAATGTGAAATATATATATTAATGTCAGCTGAAAATATAAAAAAGGTAAACTAACGTTCTAACCATATTAATAGTGAAGACAATTTGGCAGAATTGATAAATCAAATATGTTCAATTTAGGGTGTTTTATTTTCTAGATTAATAGATTAACAACTAGTGTTGTAAAAAAAGATGTCTGAAACTAAACGAAAACAATCCAGTTAGAAAATCTGAATTATAATAATTAAATTTTGTTGACATGCCCATTAGATACCCACGGTGTTTGCGTAGTTTTAGCGACTGTGTAGAATTGTTTCTTTATTATTAACGCTTTCAACACGGGCGCGATCCTTCGGATCGACCTCGTAACCATTGTGTGCTTGTTATAGTTTTTGTGCTATAACTTTTAAATTAGTAAGCATATGTTAACAAAATTTGGCAGATTAGCAGTTAACATTACAATGCTTTCATACGCAAAATATTAATTCTTAAGGTTTGTTAAGCAAAATTTCTCATACTTTTTTTTTTTCACTTGTTACCTGTTTTGTTTGTTTGTTTTATTTATAATTATGCACAAAGCTGCACAAGGGCTATCTGTGCTCTTCCCACCACGGGTATCGAAACCCGGTTTCTAGTGTAGTAAGTCCGCCGACATACCGCTGTGCCACTGGGGGGGGGGGAGGCACTTGTTACCTATCCAACATACAAAGTAATTTTTATTTTAAGATTAAAAATATTTTTATGCATCAGAAAATTTTTAAGTTTCACATGCGAAATCTTTAAAATGTCCAGATAATTACCAAATGTTTCTTAAAGAAAAACTTTATATTTCATCTGTTATTATCACTGATGAATCTTTACGGGTTTGACAGATTTGACCGATCTCATAACCAACATAAAAATTAGGAAATAAATATAAAATTATGCTTCTTTCGTTCTAGAATGACTACAAATTCTAACAAATGTTTAGATTAAATAGTTTAAATCTCATAACATTATACATTTATGTCTATTTATTATTTTTACTATATTGACCTTTCAGCTGTGCCTGACTAACAGAAGTTGTAATGACGCAGCGCACGTGCACTCATGTTATTGTATCCAATAGTATAAAATTGACCTTTAGTTTTTGCAAAGTTACCCTGTCTTGGCTGTGTTTTAGTAGACTAGTATTTAGTAATATACAGTAACATTTCAATTATTATATATGTATATATTATTATTATTTAGAAATAAGTTATTAAACATATTTTTCCTACAACATAGAAGCAAACAATTATCTCTTACAGTTATGATCTTCGTGCTCAGTTGATGCTCGACGTAGGTTGAAATTTTGCCCGTGGAGGATATGAAACGAAATAATTTTTTTTTTAGATTTTATGTATACAGTTGAATAACCAAAAAATTATAAATTACTCTATCTATATCATAGAATCCCACTATAATTTATCAAGCTTAGTAACTAAGCTGTATTTCAGCCAGGTGGTTAGGATGTTAAACTCCCAATCTGAGGGTCACGGGTTCGAATCCCCATCCCACCAAACATGCTCGTCCATTCAACCGTGGGGTCGTTATAATGTAACGGTCAATCCCACTATTTGTTGGTAAAAGATATCCCTAGAGTGGGCAGTGGGTGGTGATGACAAGCTTCCTTACCTCTAGTATTACAGTGTTAAATTAGGAATGGCTGGTGGAAATAGCCTTCATGTAGCTTTGAGCGAAATTCCAAACAAGCTGTATTTCGGTCTAAAAAAAATACGAAATTTGGAGCAGACTAAATACACAAACTACCTGCTGAGAAAACCACTAGAGGGACATTCTGAGCTGTCAATTCACATGCCATATATTGAAGAAAGTGTATATAAGGGACCATTTCCAAAAATCACAAACATCTAATTTCAAGCAGTGCTGCATTAAACATACCACGTGACACACAAAAATCAATGTTTAACTGTGTTTTTTTAAATATTTACTTCTAAATTAATAAATTGAATAATGTATAATATTAAAATTTGATACCAAACTTATTTTTTTAGGTTTTATGTATACAGTTGAATAACCAAAAAATCATAAATTACTATATTGAAATCATAGAATTCCAGTATTTGGTACATGTGCAAAATATGTTCCATGTACCAAATTATGCACCTGCGCGCGCATTTACGAAAATAGACACCTGCATGCGCATCTACCAAAATAAGCACTTGCGCGCGCATGTAACAAATTACGCACCTGTGCCCGCACGTACCAAATTACGCACTTGCATGTGCATGTATAAAAAATATACATGAGCGCGCATGTACTAAAATAGGATGCGAAGGATTAAAAATATGTAAAAAATATCTTTGAAGTTTTTTATGGTTTGCAAATGATAATATATTCAATAAGGGTTGCTTAATCAAAATAACTTCTTCGTTCTCTACAATGAAACCACTCTCCTTTTTGTTTTTAGATCATTTCAAATTAGCGCAAAGGTACACAAGAGCTATTTGCACATACCTGTCCCTAACATAAAACTCATAGTGTAGAGAGAAAACAGCCTCCATCATCAACTCTCAGGCCACTCTTGCCTGACCGAATACTAGGATTTTAACGTCATTCTTATAGCGCGCCCAAAGTAAAGACCAAACCATAAATGATTGGATTCACAGTTCGGGCATGCTAACCACTAGGCCATGTGAAGGCCTTCTTTATAAGCTCAAAGCTACACAATGGGCTGACTGTGTTGGGGATTCGAATACTAGATTTTAGCATTGTATAGTCTCTAAATGTACCGCTGATTTACCAGGGAACTATTGCAAAGAAAACATATGCTATGTTTTTGTTCTCGATAAGAATAACATTTGTTTGGGTTTTAGTTAGACCTTGACAAGACCTGGAAAATATTATAGTGTTTTAGGCTGTGATTAGCTGCTCGTATTGATATTTAACATTTTGCGTATTGATTGACACGAGTTATCCATTAAGAGAGAAATACAATTTATTTCATTATGAAGATACATACCTATACAAAAAGATGAAATAATCACTTAATTGTAAACAGTAGGGTAAATCAAACTATAATTATAGGTAAATAAATGTAAGGTGCCCGATTCCTTTTCGTTCCCCAGTGGCACAGCGGCATGTCAGCGGACTTACAACGCTAGAAATCGGGTTTCGATACCCGTGGTGGGCAGAGCTATTAGATTTGAGCTTAACTTCAAACAAACCACTTACTTTATATGAGGGAGCGTCGTCATTTTTTATAGTTACGCCATTGACTGTAAAGTGATTCCATTTCTATGAGGCTAAAGAACGGCAACTTTGAATTGATCACTGAACACGAAATTAATTTTAATTCGTGTGTAAAACTTAGTAAACAATCTGTGCTGTATATTTCTTAGTACTTGAAAAGTATGGTTCTTTAAATAATAAAAAGCTGAAACGAATTTTAAGTTTTGAAAAAACTACATTTTCATAGTTCTTGAAGTATTATTTGGTCAGCTAGCTATGTGTTTAGGGAATTAATTTTACTACCAGTTTTTATAGTTGAGTTTTAAATATTATATTAATAATGTCTCAGAGTTAACAATTTGGTAAGATTTATTTGTTAAAACGCTTATAATATTTTGTATATAGCAATTATAATTAATTTATAAACTAGTATACATCAACATCACAGCCATTTATTTGACTTAAAAACTAAGTATTAAGAAAATTGAGTTTTAGGTCTGTTTTCGAGTTCTACTGCTAATTTTTTTTTTTTGGATGGTAATGATTTGAATAAAAATTGTATTATTTCTTTGAATATATATATATATTGTTGGTATCATCTACATACTTAAGATATTTGAGAAGTTAGAGTGTATTAAGCTTTTTTGTGATTAATATAAAAATTCGCAAGTATGAGTGACAAAGGTTCCGAAAAGTTTCTACCATCAATCTAATCGTATAACACTGAAAATGAGTATCTCAAGCACAAACGATGAAAAATGTGGCGTGGTTTGAGAGTTTACACTGTTAGGACTTTGATAAAGATCTAAGCTTAATAAAATTACTGCATTTCGAACTACAACTTTATAAGTACTTACATTTATTTCAGTATACGATTTATGAAATAACAACGTTCATGATCAAAAATGTCCACTAAATGCCTGTTCCACATCTCTTTTAAAGATGTGTATCATTTACTGGAAAAAACTCGAAATTAAACGTGAGTTTACGGTAATTTATTTAAAATACAATTACAATTTCTCATAAAATTATATTTTAGAATTACCAATACAAAACCCGTGAAAGTACGCTGCGTTTAACTGACGTCTTGTTTAAACTAACTTTGAATTACGGGTGCTTTTTAATGACAAAAATATACTTTGCGGTAAGAACTTACATTACGAGAAGGAACTTTTATTATTCATACACATGAAAAGTACATTTTCACATAACTTCCCTGCCGATAACATACATCTCCACTGACTAACATATAACCTAAGTCTAAGATTAAAAACAAACGTTCAGTTTAAATACACAAGTGATGATATTAAAAAGACACATGAAAACGTGTTCATTAGCAAGCTTGAAATTTGTTCATCAGCCATCACTGTAACAACATTACCTTTATATTAAACAGATGACCACTCCTACTGAGAAACAGAGTTGAATTTACACGTTTTGTTATATTTATGTGGTGAAAATGTCTTGAATAACGAATTGATGATATAAAGATGATCCCTGGTTTTCTGTACATGAAGGACTTGTTCTCGCTCAGTTCATCTAGTTATCTTGCTGGATGACTTAAGTGTCACCATATGTTCCACGTATGTAGTAGAATATTAATTCAAAACATTCAAATTTTTTATTAAATTCTTACTTATAAAATATTGCTTCTGAAACCTCTGAGCAACGCCAAATATTTGGTGACGGACATCATGAATGCTCATAAAATTATTCAGCGCAAAAGAACGTGACAAGGCTTACAGATGTCTATTTTTAAACGCTCATCTTGAATACCAAATTTAAAAGACAAAGAAACAATATAACTAAGTTTGCAACTTATTTCTAATTATTACACTTCTAAGGAAAACACAGTTATTAATTTCTTATCGGGAAAATTCAATTTTTTCTTATTATCTGATGCTTAATAATCAAATAATATGTGTCATACTAAGTATCTATTCGTGGACGAAAGAAAGGAACTAGAAAATGAAACTAAATGCATATTAATAGATGGACTTTATGAGAATCCTTTTACCGAGAAAATAATCGACAAAATAAACCTTCACAGCCATTAAAATAAAAATTAAGCTTTTAGTTGAAGAATCGCGAACAACTTCAAATTTTATGAAACGTCACAAGAAAAAATACAAAAAATTTCAAAAATTTACTATGACATGAAAAGTGATTGCTCATAGCCTCTTTTAATCGTAAGTTAGTTAATTCAAACACAAACACTTCGGCGTTAAAAGCTAATGTCGAAACATAGAAACCTTCAAATAAAACCACGAGAAAATAATTTTGATTTAGCCGTACAATCAAGATACATGAGAACAGCATAAAGGTAAAAATGCTCGTGCTTTTCAACGGAAAAATTGTCTGTATGATATCAACATTGTATTCGCTAACAAAATATTTTTCTTTTAACATGCCAGCTGATGATAATTGCACATAGTTTTGTAGCCTCCATGTTTGATTGTTAAAAAAAGTTACGAGGACTTCTGTCACCTTGAAAAGCAGAATGTATAGCTAATATATATATATGCATCTCATTCACGATGTCACTATAGGTAGTTGTATCTTGTATTTCTTATCTTCTCCAGTCAAAGAACCTTTGTTGTAGTGGTGTGTGTACTGTCCTTTTGTTTTCTTTCTTGGTACACCACTCTTTACTCTCATGCCTGGAAAGTGATATTCGTCTTATGAATTGATAAGACCTAAATCTGTCTGATGCTTCTATAAAGGAAACTGGAATATCCCAGACCTGCTGGATGTACGTGTTTTTTTGTCGAAGAAACTAGCACACGTTCAAGTAATCACATATTTTCTGAGAATGAAGAAGCTATAAATGACATTCAAACATTGATAATGAAGAAACTATAAATGACATTTATCGATTGAAACACATCGATTTTTTTGCAAGACGGTTCCCACGGGACAAATGCAGCCAGGCTTGCAGCGCCGTCTACAGGGCTTGTTTCGTTTATAATTTCTACACGTCAGTTTGCATGCTGAGCCACATGAAGTAAAAACAGCTCCTTTCGGACAGTGAGCATCTGAAAATAAATAATTAGTTTTGTTCCTATTTTTTTATCATTTAAAGTTTTCTAAATCTTATTCAAAAGCAATGTTCCAATAACTAGTAATTCTAAAACTAACATTATAGACGTCAATAGCAGTAATAACACAAGCCTGCGAATTTAAATTCATATAATATATCATAATATAATTCAGCTACGCAGATTTCGAAAATAATATTAATTTTTTCTATCAAGTAAGGAATTTTTACAAATCGGGAAGAAAAAAACTCCTACTTAGATCAAATTATTATTTCGTTTACCACAATAAACATTATTATTATTATGTTTGTTAACAAAAATAGAAACAAACTGAACAAAAGAGAAGAATATTGATGTCAAACAAATATTCATCCCCATTCATCCCGATTTTTTGTGTGAAATCTACGTCTTTTAGTCTCAAAACTACGTGTTGTGGTCTTTCTTTTATGTATTGCATTATGACGATTAGTAAAAAATCTGTACGTGATGGAGAAAAATAGATATCATTTTCGGATTTAGCGTACAGGAATTATAGTAGAACATGTAAAAATGACAAGACAATAAAACCATCGCAGGGCCGTGTAATTATTAAATAATGTTTTGGATATATTAAACATATCTTCCTCACTGCTACTGCATATTCCAGAATAGTAGCATTAGATCTCACTCCACGGTTAATTATTTTATATGTTATACATATAATTAGATTATGGAAGATTTCCTGTAACATAGCATATCAGCTGTTATAAGACTAGTCGTTCAACAACAGTCAAGTACACGACAAAACAATTAAAATAAACCTTTCTTCCAAATATATACAGTAAGCAAGTCTTCATCTGGACTTTCAATGCTAAAAACTTCTATTTTTACTTTCAGTATTACCTATAAGCTGTTCCAGTCCAGAAATTAGCCTACGAAACGTTTTTTAAAATAATTTTATCCTTTTTAACACATACATCCTGACTTCTTCAATTCAAATTGTGAAAGAGTACTCGAATTCAGGGGTAAATGTGAGGGAACGCCATTCTCATTGTTAAAATAAGGATCAATATCGTTCCTTATGTTAACAAATCATATGCATATGGGTATATTTTACTGATCGCATAACCTCAGTGGAGACTCATGTGTATAACTACAGTCGTACTGATTCTCAGTGTGTGTGAAATAGTACCTTCATCAATCAATGGTAACATTGGTTTTTAAATCGCTGTCAATGTTTCTTTTATGCAAATTTACTGTTAAATCTTAATTTTGATCTAATTAGTGACTGATCATAAATGTAAATAATGTCACATATTTTATTACGTGAGAGTGCCAGCATAGTGTACACTTCTTTCATCATATTTATGGAGCTCCCTTTGTTAAGTATCCACAATTCGAGAACAGTGTGGAAATTCAAGATTATACCATTCGCATATTGGATAGAAAATAGTAGGCCGAAGAAAGTTTAAAACAGAACGATATATACTGGATAAAATTTTCCTATCTTGAAGATTTTTGACACTAATTTGATGTTTTAAATACCTTTATATAAAAATGATAAAACCTTATTTTTGCTACTCAATGAAAAGTGCATCGCAAGTCAAGCATGAATAGAAGTAATAGCACATTCACTCTAAGGGTTTGTAAAAAAATGCTTCATGTTACAATATGTATAACTTTTTTGTAGAAATTACATAGTTGAATGCCGAATTCACCTAACATAGACTCAATAAACAACACTATTTTAAATTGATCAAAGAATTTGTTCCTTACTTTCACATCCCGTGTCTTTCCGCCAATCCAACACAGTTCCTGCCCTCTCACATTCTCTGGCATAAGCTTGGAGAGCTTCACAGTAACATTTATCTGTCAAAGGGCACTCACACATGTCGATGAGGCAAGACCTAAATGATAAATGTTGCAGTGTTACATAAACTAAACAGTATTGTTATTAACGAACTCAATAAGCCGTGGGGATTTTTTTTTATTCGTCTCTGCTAGTTCACCCAGAAGGTGAAACAAACACAGAGGTGTAGGAGGCAAATTAAAAGTAAGGAGGTATGGGGTAAGGCTTATTTGATCGGTTGGGGTCCAGGTCTCGTCTGGGGGGCCCTGGAAGTTGCTGGGTTCTGGATTAAATTTTATGCATTTTCCCGCTTTTCCTGCGAGTAATTTTCCTAATTTTGATGCATTTTTATTCGGACAGATTGAAAAGTATGGGCGCCCCTCCCCCCGCTTCCTGCGTTACTGGAATAGCAGTAGTAGTAACATTCTACGAAGGTTACAAAGGAACTGGATTAGTAGACCTTACTGCTCTCGATATTTTCTGTAACAATCCTAATATCGGCTGTAATCGCTGATCTCCAACTATGAACATATTTAATAATATATTAAATATTTACAGATATTCTGTTAAATTTCATGCATTTGTATATCTTGACAGTGGTAGTCGCAATTTTTTTTCTCTTTTGACTGCCTCTTCTTCTCCGGCACAGAGAAGCAGTTGTGTATTTCGGTAGGGGAAGAGGCCAATGAAATAAGCAGTAGTCTTTTCGGGTAGAGAGAAAAACAGAGGTAAACTTTCCCGAGTAAACAAAGATAAAACGTGACCGCATTTACTAAACCCATCTGATATTTCGTATAATTTTGATATATTCCCATCAAAAATGCTTTCCCGTAGCTCAGCGGTTAGATTGAAGGCTTATAACACTGGAATTTGGGATTCGATCTACCGTGATGGCCCAGTATGGATAGTCTGTTGTGTAGCCTTGTGTTAAAACAAACGATTGTTTTTTTTGTAGTTAAGCACAAAGCTACACAAAGGGCTATGTGTGCTCTGCTGTGCCACTGGGGAGGGGGGGGGGCAAAACAAACGAATAAAGTAAATGAAAAGTTATTTAACTCCCTCAATAACTGAAAAAAAAGGACTTAACAATTTTTTCATTATGAAACAATTAAAAGCAGAAACTTCAAAATCATAGGTCTCCCGCTGGGACAGCGGTAAGTCTACGGCTTTACAATGCTAAAATCAAGGGTTCGATTCCCCTCGGTGGACGCAGCAGATACTTCGATGTGGCTTTGCTATAAGAAAAAACCCACAAAATCATAGATTAAAATATATCAATATGACTGAATATGGGCGGGATTGATAAATATTTTAAATGGAAAAGGTAAGATTTTTCTTATATTTGTTTGCTTTTTTAAGTGTCATACAGTTATATTTTTATACGGTAACCATTGAACGGAAATGGTGATGTAGGTGTAGGTGATGTCAGTGAAACATAATTAATGATGATCATCGAGTAATTTCCACCTTAGTCAATCAGTATTAAAAATATTTTTTGTTAAGCGTAGCAGGTAGCAAAAAGTTCATCAAGATCAGCTAAAAACCTTTTAATTTTATAACCCAGCCACAACCTGTTTGGAAATCAACAAAACGTACCCATAAGCTGTCTGGAAATCAACAACATCTACCCATAAGCTGTCTGGAAATCAACAACATCTACCCATAAGCTGTCTGGATATCAACAACATCTACCCATAAGCTGTCTGGATATCAACAACATCCGGGTAGATGTTGTTGATATCCAGACAGCTTATGGGTAATAAGGTGTCTGGAAATCAACAACATCATAAGCTGTCTGGATGTTTCTCAGAATTGCCGATCCGATTTTCAGTAGATTTTTTTTTTAATTTGCCGGTTTTAAAATATAATCGCTTTAAATTTTGTACATATATCTCATTTAATTTATTTTTACAACAGAAGGTATTAGTAATATTCTTAACCCTGATTATTCTAAAGGAAATATCTAAATTGACCTTGATAATTTTCTGAATATAAATTCCTTGGGATAAAGTGAAAGACTGAGATTAAAAATATCAGGATTAGACAACTATTTTCTCACAGTTTTAAGGGAGATCTCTCTTTCAGTTTTGGTAAGTCAGTGACAGTGGCCTTATGATTGGAGAGCCGCTAGATACGTGAGCCTCTCTCTTTCAGTTTTGGTAAGTCAGTGACAGTGGCCTGATGATTGAAGAGCTGCTAGATTTACTTCTATTTTCACAAGGGGTGATAAGAGTTGCCCTGGAAAGTATAGGCCAGTTAGTCTTATTTCTATGATGGAAAAGGTTCCAGATAGCCTGATGAAAAAACTTAACAAAATCGTTTAGTGAAATATGATATTATAGATGAAAACCTTCATGGCTTCACCAAAGGGAATTTTTTTTTCTTATTAACTTGTTACATTGTTTCGAAGTTGTTATTTCTTAAATGGAGAATGGAAATGGTGTGGACTTGATGTACTTAGATTTTCAAATAGCTTTGGATAAGGTACTACACAAAAGAACAGATAAGAGAAAAACAACGGTAAGGGTTGAGGAAGGACTAATTAAGTGGATTGTAGGATGGTTGGATGGGAGAAAGAAAAAAAAAATATTACTATTAATGGAGTTCAGCCAAATTGGACCATTGTTACTGGTCCAATATTTGGATTCAGTGCTTGGATCTTTGATTTTTCTTAATTACATCAATAATACTGGTAGGGACATAATTGTTAAATTTTTTGATGATATTAAACTCTTCTGTATTTCGATCTGTATTATAGATGTTGAGGTATTACAGAAAGTTGAACAGAAATTTGGCAAATGACCTTTAACTATAGTTAGTGCAAGGTAACGAACCTAGCTTATGATAATTTGTATCGCATGTTCAATGTAGATGGAAATCTCGGCATAGTGGTGGATGAACCATTCAAGCCGTTGAAGCAGTGCTCTGTTGTTAATAACAAAGTTACAAAGCTAATAAGAATTATAGATGTATAAGTTACCCCTGTATACAGATCACTAGTTAGGCATCACTTGGAATACTGCGGAATATTTTGGTCTCCTTATCTAAGAAAGGATATTAACTAATTGGAAATGGTTCGGAGTAGGGCTACTATATTGAAGTTTACAAGATTATCCGGGGGAATGGTAGGATAAAGTCTCTGGATTCTTCTATTAAAGACAATATAACGAGAGAACATACATTTAAGATTTGGAAGAAACAGGATGAGCTCCAGTTTTATTTTGCTAACAAGGTGATTGTTTTATGAAATGAGTTGCTTGTCAAAAGAAGTTACAAGAGTTTACAAGAGAAAAGGGGTTCCAGTTTTTAATTTTTAAAGGAAGTGCCCTGCTATATAAAACTTGGTTATTGTCAAGTATACAAAGTATAACACTCATTGTAGTTGTTGTACCTGACGATTCCAGGTTAACCTAGGGAAATATTGTAACCCTAAATATTATACTATGTATATTCAACGATGAATAAGTTTTATGTTATGTTATAGCTACACGATATGTATAAAGATAATTATTTTATTTCGATGCGGACTTCGTCTAGAACTCGAGTGTACTTTATAGTTATTTTTGGTTTTATTTACATTTCTTTATCTCGTTGATCAATTAACTAGTTTTTCATAAAAGAAAATTAGCTGTGGCGGACGTAAATACTGGTTTGTCGTGTAATATGTTTTTTTCTTGTCTATTATTTGAATATTTTAAATATTTTTGTATTTTAAGAATTAGTTTGAAGTTAAAGAATATAAAACTTTCCTTATGATTTTTTTTCTTTTTTAATAAAATTTTATTACTAAATACAAATGACACGTTTGTTTTACGTTTGTATGCGAGTAATCAATATCATAAAATAACAAATTTTCAGTAAATTACATTTTAGAAGCCCCCCAGTGGCACAGCGGTGTGTCTGTGGACTTACAACGCTAGAAACCGGGTTTCGATACCCGTGGTGGGCAGAGCACAGATAGTCCATTGCATAGCTTTGTGCTTAACTTCAAACAATAACAACAACAAATTTTAGAAACATTAATAAAGAGAGTCGTAACAGATTGTCGGTATTTTCTGTGGTCTAATTTAAAAGTTTATTTCGTTTTCTTTAACGTACTAGTTTTGTTTGTTATTGTGACAGTTTATAAAAAGCTTGTAAAATAATTTAATAAGCATTGTAAGTTATGGTTTACGGTTTTAATGTACTATTTTCATTAAATCTCTCACAACCGCCTGGGTGCAATTTTACTTCTTTAAGTTTAAATTGTTATTATCTTTTAAATGCTAAATGTCTGAGAACTACATTAATCCATGGATAAACTACCCTTCTTCCGCTATTACTGCACCTGATATTGTTGTTATCTGCAAGTCTATTAAATCATACTTGAAAGATTCTATGATTATGTTATAATTGCGTGCTCCCCTGTGGTTCAGCGGTAAATCTGAAGGCTTATAACGCTAAAAATTAGGTTTCGATAGCCGCGATGGGCAGAGTACAGATATCGTATTGCGTAGATTTGCGTTTAACAATATCAAAAACAAATTAAACCTGTACTCAAATATATATTGGGTCAGATTTTAAAAATAATATTATATATGTTTTTCCTGTCATACCTCCCTTTCAACCATCACATATCTTAAGTAGCTGAAAAACGAAACTGGTATTCATTTTATTCCATACCAGGAGTGGCAACCTTACAATTTTTTGTTACTGAAATACAGACAAACTGACACTGTATTTATTTATTTTTTTGACTGACATTATCAAAAACATTTTTCGACATTTATTGGTTTATTGACAGTGTTAAAATGTGACTTTGTTCTGATTGTCCGTAAATTTACTGTTGGATGGCAACCATGTTCCATAACAAAGACGTACTGGCCAAGTAGCCAGACGCAGCAGCTGTGGATTTTCGGTTGAACGGACTGTTTAACGTCCTTGTATACTAAATGGCTTACGAAAAGCAAGCAGAAAGGAAGGATGTGCTTTAGATATGACAGCCTTATGCAATGGAAACTATGCTGCAGAGCTATTGTTGAGGTGCATGGTCTTTAGATAAGGAATGATAGGACATGGGCTGTAACAACGCGGTGAGGCTCCAAAATCATTTTAACATGTCTTCAACCTCTGTGCATTTAGTCACATGAACGGCTTTTGTTTTAATATACATAAACTTGTCAATGAAGTATTGATTTTAAATTATCTTTGCATTTTGCTTTCATACGTGTATCTATTTTTCATTTAACAAATTAAACCTTTCGTGAGGTTTTTCTTTTCTTTTTACATGCATCGCTTTCACCATAATATTTCTTTGTTAAACACAAAAACACTAACATTTCATAGGAAACACACACGACTGACTTTTGTCAGAATCAAACGACGAGAAGGTGCAAAGGGCTTTAAACTTTTCCCCCTCTCGTTAGATTATTTCACTGTCCAGAAGGTCTTGGACTTCTAGGTCTTTTGAAATGAACAGTTAGCTAAGACATTTTAAAATAGACTAATGGAAATGTAATGTTCTCCAGTTTACTAAGTTTATTTACTTAAGTTTTTTTCTTCATAAATAAGCAATAAATACAGTTCTTGTAAGTATAATAGATACTACATTCTTATTTATTAGAAACATATTAAAATAAAAGTTAATTTCTTACATTTGGCCGGCTGACTTAAAACCACATTTCTTACAGACTAATGACAAACTTGACCTTTTTACTATTAGCGAGAGGATTTGGATCCCAGTTGGTGCACTTATTTCAAAAATTTTTTCTGTTCTTCTTCAGGAGTAAAAAAAATGGTGAAGGTTAAAGAGTGTGGCTGGTTCGTTACATGTTGCGAGACTCGGGGGCGGCGCGTATAAACCGTCCTTAAGGGGGTATTATTTTCACCAACTCAAAAATATTATACAGTATATGTGGAGAGAGAGACAGAAAGACCGAAAGAATGAGTATTTGAGTCACTGAAGAGAGTTTATTCATTTAGGAGTACGAACTGATTGTGTAAAATTGGGCAGTAATTAAGGAGTAATACAGCAGGAAGAAAAAGAATAAACGTAGCATTTCCTTTTGCATAAAATGCCTGTGTATGTGTGTGTGTACGTGTTTTTCAGCAAGATTTCTCAAAACGGCTGAATGGTTTTGGACGAAAGCTGGTATACATTTGGACTATGATCCAACTTAGAAGTGTTTAGTTTTTAGAGTGTCAAGGTCACGAAAAACAAAACAAAAAACTATCTGTTAACATGGAGACCGATTTTTCACACTATTTTTGCTCTATAACTCATTCAAAAATGATCAAATTTTGATTAAAGTTCGTGGACATATGTTGAAAATTATTCCTCATCATCCTTCCAAAAATTGTCCGTGTCCGTTGATAACGACAGACACATTTTCGTATTTTTTGAGGGCCGAATACGAGCAACGCTAAGTGCCCCTCTAGTTGAACTTGAAATAGTCATTGTGGATTACTTACTGGTAATAAGGTGTTGGGTCGACGAGAGCTTGACATTGGAGGAAAACAGGAGCAACTTTCAAAACGTTACATTCTCGGACTCCTCGGATTTGAGAATCCGAACTATGTTCGCATGATGATCTCCTTGCTTTTGCTGTGATAAGCGGCTTACATCGACCTCTTCGCCCTCTCTAAATTGAAAGAAAAATACGGGTAAGAAAACTACAGTATTTAATTTATCAATACACGTATTTATAAAATTAAATCTACATCAAAATATTTTTATAGGAAGAAACCAATTATACATATATAAATATATACACTTTAGTACATATATAAATATATATACTTTAGTATATATATAAATATATATATTTTAGTACATATATAAATATATACACTTTAGTACATATATAAATATATATACTTTAGTACATATATAAATATATATACTTTAGTATATATATAAATATATACACTTTAGTACATATATAAATATATACACTTTAGTACATATATAAATATATACACTTTAGTACATATATAAATATATATACTTTAGTACATATATAAATATATATATTTTAGTACATATATAAATATATAAAATTAAGTTATTCCAAAAAAGGTAGAATCAACATGAAAGTTACCATCAGAAAAACAAAACAAAAACAATAACCTAAACGGGAAGTGGACTTTTGTTCGTCAGGAGTAAGTGGCATATATTCGTAAAGACGGCAATTTATATTTTTTTCATCTTGAGTTTTAAGCAACTATACAAATAACTGTCAACTACTGTAACTGATAAGTAGTTTGGGTTTTAACTTCTTTATTACTGAATATAAAACTAACGAAGACAGAGCTATATTCTCTGTGTATTTTTAAACTGACTTGAAGACAGACCTACATTCTCTGTGTATTTTTAAACTGACTTGAAGACAGATCTATATTCGCAGTGTATTTTTAAATTGACTTGAAGACAGAACTATATTCTCTGTGTATTTTTAAACTGACTTGAAGACAGATCCTAATTCTCTGTGTATTTTTAAATTGACTTGAAGACAGATCTATATTCGCTGTGTATTTTTAAACTGACTTGAAGACATCTATATTCTCCGTGTATTTTTAAACTGACTTGAAGACAGATCTATATTCTCCGTGTATTTCTAAACTGACTTGAAGACAGATCTATATTCTCTGTGTATTTTTAAACTGACTTGAAGATAGATCTACATTCTCTGTGTATTTTTAAACTGACTTGAAGACAGATCTATATTCTCCGTGTATTTTTCAACTGACTTGAAGACAGATCTATATTCTCTGTGTATTTTTAAACTGACTTGAAGACAGATCTATATTCTCTGTTTATTTTTAAATTGACTTGAAGACAGATCTATATTCTCTGTGTATTTTTAAATTGACTTGAAGACAGATCTATATTCTGTGTATTTTTAATTTGACTTGCACAGGGAAATTGCTATAACCTGAAAGATCTAGTTACATACGTAATTCGGTTCTTCTAAGTAAAACTTTTAAATACTAATGTTTTTCTGTTCGAACGCCATACTATGGTTATGCCACTAAATTCACAAAGTATACTTCTGAAAAAAAAAAACATCACAAAAGTTTCTTGCACCCAACAACTGGACAAAAAATAATAACAAAATAAAGGCAGCAACTGTACATTAAGAATAACAGAATTACGAACATTTCACAGACGATGGAACGTTGAAAGCTTCCCCCCCTAAAAAACAAACTAATACCTGTACTTATATTTTTAGAGGGGGGAGGGGAACAATTTAGAGCTATTTAATCAGTCAACAGATACCCTTATTTTAGCGTCTTGTACAATGCAGACGTACACATTATTATTGTTATTAGTTACTATTGTTTTTTATTGTTTTGAAGTATTAGTATTGTAGGATCATTCAAATTTTAACAAGGTTTTTCGAGTAAGCCGCCATAATGCTTTATTTTTTGTATAAGTAAGTCGAAAGCCCTTGGAACAAAATATATTTATAATTCAAATGAATATGGCAGCTGTTCAAGTGTTTTAACTTACGATTACTTTTATATTCTCAAAATTCTTATGTCAAAAGGTTTTAATGATTGGCTTCGTTTTCATTCTTACCTCTTGTCTGTAAAGTAGGCGTTAGTTTTATATTCAAAAACTTGATATGAAAAAAGAAAATAATTTAAGACAGTCATTAAAACAGTGTAAATAAGTTATGAAAAGTGTGTCCAAAAATAGTATTCAAGTCAATCCTTACTTGCCAGAAATTACCGAAGATGTCAACATCTGACACGATTTCCCTTTTCTAGTAATAAAGTCGTCTTGGGGATCGTCATTGTAGTTTCCACACAGTCCACACATGTGGTTTTTAAACTCGGGTGGTATAGAGACCTCTACAAAACTGCCACCATCCCACATTATCTTCATTCCTATAAGAATTAGGAAAAAAACAAAACAATTTTTGTCACATTTCAGATTACAGAGGATTACTTATGTTTTTCTTGAGGGATTGTATATCTTAACACAATGAGCATCCCAGCAGATGCGAACAGTGGCGCCATCAACAAACTTGTTTAGTAATTAAATATTTGTTTCACGGAGAATTTCTTGACCATTCAACAGTGCAATATCTCCAAGGCAAAAATTATGGCTGGATACGTTATGAGAACTCTTTCCGAAGAAGGTTTGTTTGTTCGTTTGTTTTGAAGTTATGCACAAAGCTACACAATGGGCTATCTGTACTCTGCCCACCATGGGTATCGAAACCCGGTTTCTAGCATTGTAATTCCGCAGACATACCGCTAGGCCACTGGGGGGCTCCGAAGAAGGACATAGCATTTCGAAAAAGGAAGCCTCCAACATGCATAATGGAAGAAAAAGAACCAGCTCAAGTTTAGAACAGCAACGACCCCCAGGATCACACCCAAACCAGATCCAGAGCAACGCCATGATTTATAAAAATGAAAGCTATAATTATGAAAGAAAACCGTAAAAAGTCATTATGATAAATCAGGACATCTTTCCTAGCACCTTTAAAAATACACTAAAAACCATAGAAAGTCAACCACGGTTATCACGAGGAAGATGGTTGAAGAAACTTGAATCACAAAAATTTCATTCCTACATAATCTCCTGATACAGCTCCATCTGACTTTTGTTACTTTGGTCTCTTAAACACTGCCTAGGAAGCCGGAGTCCATGAAAAAAAAAATACGAAGATGTATGATCTAATGTTGACCTTGTCGTCTTTCGCAGAAGTTGGATTCAGTGGAACCTGCGATTTTGGGCGATAGTGCGAAATAACTGACACTAGAATGAATAGCAACGGCGATGAAGGAAGTAGTTCCAAGGGAAAGCGAATCCTGGAACATCCTTCTCATACACAACGATTACCCTCAGTAATTTAGTGTTTGGAAATTCGCCATTACCACTGTCAGTCACTTGATTATCCTAGCGACTAATTAAACTAATTCCAGATGAGCCATTCGAATTGTTTATATACCGGACTAAAAATAGATAACAAAAGAAACACCAATCCAACAAGGATTAAGTTTTAATCTTAAAACAGCCAGATATGTTATGTTCAGAACTGCATTTCTTTTATTAAAGTTTATTAAGATGTTTTCATCAAAGCATTTCTTCGGTTGTTCTTTCAAAACTTGTTACATTGAGGTAATATTTGCTGAAAGGCGTCTGTAGGAATGTGATTATAATTTAACCTGCATTTTTATCTTTCTAGCTGCAATAAACTAGCTTTACAACCAGACCGCGTAAGCGAGCTCTTTAATCTTTGATTGGAGAATTAAGACAAAGCACACAGATTCATAGATAACTTTTCATTCATATGAAAATATAAAGTCAGAAACAACCAGAAAACATAAGGCTTTCTAGCTTTTGTTTGTTTGTTGTTAAGCACAAAGTTACACAATGTGCTATATCGAAACCCGATTTTTAGCCTCATAAATCTTCAGAGTTTTCGCAGAGCCACTGGAGACAGTTTTCTAGCAGCGGAGTAGTTACTACACATGGAAATCACTTTGGATAACATTTTATTTACAAAAATGAGAAAAGAATAGTTTGTATCAATCACCATTACTTAAAATCAATGAAATGGAACGCAGCTCTGAGAGTATACACAAGAATCTTCCACTTCTGGTGGCTAGGGTGCTCGACTCGCAATCTGAGGATCGCGGGTTCGAATCCCTGTCACCGAACATGCTTATCCTTTCTGCATTATGATGTGACGGTCAGTCCCACTATTCGCTTTCTGCCGTGGGGGTATTATGATGTAACGGTCAATCCCACTATTCGTTGGTAAAAGAGTAGCCCAAGAGTTGGCGGTGGGTGGTGATGATTAACTGCCTTCCCTCTAGTCTATGAATACTAAATTAGGGACAGCTAGCGCAGATACTCCTCTTGTAGCTTTGCGCGAAATTCAAACCAAACGCTAAGGACTCCTAGTCTTAGCTATATACAATACTATGTATTCTATTTAGCCTAAAAAGTCATTATATCTGTCTACAGATTCGTTGCAAATCTATTCAACTTAAATTATAACCAAATTCAGACATTTTGTAGTCTAGTAAGAAAAGCATCAACGAAAACATTTTCTTATTTTTAAATATAATGAGAAATTATGTTGCTGTTCTAGGCGTAACGACTCCTATAACATTTTGAGTAATGGCGAGAACCGTTGCGACAAAAGTCGAAAACAAAATATAAGAGACAATAGATCAGAGTTAATTACTCTCAACGCTAACCTAGTATCGAAATTGAATTATTTTACCCCACAGGTGAGCTGATCAACAGTTACAAAGCTTCTACCCCCCACCCCACCTCCTAAGAACGAAGATCAGGGAAGTAGCACATAAAAATTAACATTTGCTGGTAAACTGAACCCGAATTAACCAAAATGGAGGTTACAGATGAGAAAACATATAAGCTGTAGCTGTACTTAGGCATAAAAGTAAAGTTTAATCCACAAATGATACAAAGTGCAAGTTTAGTACTTTGAGATTAGCAGTGATTAGGTAAATTTCAACCTCCCCTGGGAACAAGTTGGTTATGTTTAGAAACTAATATGTTATTACTGGATGTGGCATAGAGTTATTAGAGAACAGCATATAAACGAACACATTAGCATACACTGACACAAAGCATGAAATATACGTAAAGTACGAAATATATATCGGGCATGTAAATAAGTGAGTCCACGGTGACACTTCTTCAATCCAATTTTTCATACGCTGTATTTATTATCTTAGCATAATACAACCATACGCACAAAAGTAAAGCCTTTAAGGGTATATAATTCTGAATTAACACTTAAACTTTTTTTACACAGATTAACGCATGTCAAAGAAAACAATAATACATACATACAAAAAATTCCCACCAGTGCCATAACGGGAATTCTGCGGACTTATAATGCTAAAAATCGGGTTTCAATACCCGTGGTGGGCACAGCACAGATAGCCCTTTGTGTAGCTTTGGGCTTAACTACAAACAAATACAACCACACACACACACAAAACATTTATTTAAGACCAAATAATATTATTCTTAATTGTTTCTCTATGTTAAAGGAGTAGTTTCAGTAAAAGAAAGACAATTTAAACTACACATCTTTAATAATGTGTTTCAATATATTAAAGTGCCACAAGTATAAAATCGTCGATATCTGAAATCCACGTATTAACATTTTCAATCAGAAAATAACATCAGCCTTACCCAGGTTAGTTCTAGTCACCATACTGTAACCTTCCTGGATTATCGAGAAGGAACCCAGTTTAACATATGGTAGGTTGACCTTTTTTTTGTTGATCTTCACTTTCATAAATCGAGCCATTCGGATCTTGTTTTGACCTAGCTAAACAGTTATGAATACTCTAGGTTTATACACAACACCTTGGGTTCTGTGAATTAAACAAATCACATTGAAAACCAGTTATGGTTTGATCGTGCAGAATAGATTAATGAATGACATAAATTCAACTTGTTAATTATGTTTTACACTAGTGTGTGAAAAACAATCATAAATTAAAATGGACTTTATTACTCATTTCAACATGCCAACAGAAAGTAAAATAATTTTAAACTTGGACTTGGAAACTACTTACTTTTATTTTCACAACTTTTGTCCAAGAGAACGTCTTTGAGTGTCGGGGGTCGTTGATGACTTGGATAGCAAAGCTTTTATTTCCATTGCAATCTTTAGCTAGAAGATATTTACAGGAACCTTGAAAGTTGAAGATGCGTCCATCAAAGGTCCGGTAATGGGGATCACCGAACACAGAACACACGGCATCGTCTAAAGAATGAATAAGAATATTTCACTCATCCATGTTAGGCTTAGATTTTTACCGTAAGATTTATTCAGTCTTGTGATTTTTGCCATTAAAGCCTCTTCACGTCCCGATGACCGTAAAGTCATAGATTCATTAATAAAGCTAAATCCAACTAAAACACCATGAGCGAACTTTGATTTTTTATAAACTTGTTATAATTTAATATAGACGAACAAGTAAAATAAAGATATCTACATTATTGTTCAGAAGTCTTACTTACTTGCTTCCAGTCATCCAATAGTAAAACATAACAATGAAGCTTCTTTTAAGCCTTTAAGTAAACAACAACTAGCATCTATCTGTACTAGAGCTGAATCTCTTACAGATTACGTATGACTAGAGTTTTCGAGTTTTCAGGTGGCCAACGTTTCGTTTTCTCTGTTGAGAGCTGTTATCAGACATGGACCTTAATACGGTGGCTTTTGACCTTGTCCACCTCGAAACGCCTTCTAGAAGTGGACCTTCGTACGGTGGCTTTAACCTCGTCCACCTCGAAACGCCTTCTAGAAGTGGACCTTCGTGTGGTGGCTTTAACCTTGTCCACCTCGAAATGCTTTCTAGAAATGGACCTTAGTACGTAGCTTTAACCTTGTCCACTTCATAACGCTGGCTAGATGCAGCCCGTAGCAAATTCGTCAATAATAGATCATAAGATTCGAATTCTTTTTGAAATTCAAGCAATATAATTTACTACATAAATGGTTGCATTTAGATTTTCTGAGAGAGCGAGAAGAAATAGCCTATAAAAATATTTTTAAAGAAAATTACTAAACATTTTTGCTGATTGAAAAATATGAAAAAGTTTAGAGCAAGTTAAAGTTTTATGGTTGAGAGTTATTAAAATCTTATTGATTATTCTGATCAGTGAATGTGCATTTTTTACAGCAGATGATATTTTCTGATTAATAGTTTCACTTGTTTTACAGTTGATCATCTTTCCTGATTAGTTTGGTTTACTGCTCATTACCTTTCCCGATTAGTGGATAAATATGTTTTATTGCAGACTACCTTTCCTGATTAGTGGATAAACATGTTTTACTGCAGACTACCTTTCCTGATTGGTGGATAAACGTTTTACTGCCAACTACCTTTCCTGATTAGTGAAAAACATGTTTTACTGCCAACTACCTTTCCTAATTAGTGAATAAACATGTTTTACTGCCAACTACCTTTCCTGATTAGTGGATAAACATGTTTTACTGCAGACTACCGATGGAATGACACTAATTGTTCTAGCGCTTTGGAATGGTTGTTCTTTCGTCATAATTATTTTTGCTTTTGATGAAGACTGAGAACTTCAATTTATTTATCGCTATAATAACAGTTAAGCGATCTATGTTGCTAGGTTACTAAAACCAAATCCCGTGACAGATCGCCATATTTTATACTGCATGTTACAAAACTCGTCAACAAATTTTGTTTATTATTCTTACCTTCTACGCACGTTGGACAGCATTCTCCAGGTAGTATTTTCAGTTTGTGCCGCTTGGGGCAGGACTGATGAGAGCACTCCACTACTTCGCACACTATTTGACCGTCGCGACAAGAACAAGACGTACAGCGATCCTTCTTCCAGGTTTCTTTGTCCTATTTTTATTTAATTATTTATTCCAAGAAAATGGTTTCGATTAGTGAGCTTTTAAGCACCTGTTTCAAATGTATACTAATAATGTTGTGCTTAACGTAAAAATATTCTCGTAACCAAGTTACTGCACGTTGATAAATCTATATTGACTTTTGATCAAAGCAAGCTATCAACATAAATCATAACTAAAAATCAACTTAACAATGAGTATAGATAATATAGACGCACGGTAGTGACCCCAGCCAAGTTAGAAGGATGGATTAATCCTGCCATTACTCTATAAATACGAAAAAATGGGGAACTTGGCCCCATTTTTATATTAATGTTGCCGCTTGTTCCAGTTGTAATAAAAAAAAAGCGGGACATGAATTCCCCAGTTTAGTACTGTTTAACTTACCCACTTTTGTTTTACATTACATCTTTACAAGGTTTGCCGTTTTACATAATTTTGCTTCTTTTTTTTACTTTTTTTTTGGGGGGAGGAGGGGGTATAACACCTTCTTATGACTGCCTCCTTTATTCTGACTTGGCTGTTTACGTACATGCAAAATGTTTTGATCAGATTAAATATAGTGTTCTTGAGTTCTTACTTATAAAGATTAGAATGCATTGTTTAATCAGTTGGGTACTCTTGCTGTTATTGATATTTTCGGCCGTAAACCCAATAATATCTCGAAATTCGGCCATCTCAGGAGATTCAGATTAGCCCTAAATCCACATACTAATATAAAAATACAAAACAATCTTTATAATAAAATATAAAAACTTAAAATTAATAATCATAGATATCTTAAACATTCAAACCAATCCTCTCTAAGGAACGTAGCATTAAAGATTTGTTTGTTTGGAATTAAGCACAAAGCTACACAATGGGCTATTTGTGCTCTGCCAATCACGAATATCGAAACCAGGTTTATAGCGATGTAAGTCCACATACATACCACTGTGCCACTGGATGGCTAACATTAAAGAAATAATAGAGTATACTTTACTTACAGAACACGTAAAATAGTGGCTTGTTTCATGCACTATCGACATTAGAAAGAATTGTTCTTTCAGTGTTGGAGACTAATTCTTATGAAAGCTAATTAACTGAACGCTCTATCTGTATGTTTATCTTACAGTAATATTAATATTGGCTTTTGAAATAACTTTATATTACAATGACTTTGTATTTTCTCACAAATTAATTACGTGGATACGTAGCACACGTAGAGCCAACAAATTAAAAAGCCCAAAATCTATAGGATGTGAATAAGACACTTTTGTTTAACATAAATATAGTTCTGAAGTTACTCATTTTTACAGGAATTTTTTATTCAGTTCTCTTTCTTTCTGTAATGAATTGTTTCATATAAGTATGAACCAATAATACGCATGCTAAGCATTATCTCTACACTTACATATAAGGACCTAAGATAAGAACACAAAACATATTATTAAGGCACCTATAGGAGAATCAATAATACGAACATAAGACATGTTATCCGGGAATGTATAGGAGAATCAATAGTACGAACACAAAACATATTATTAAGGCATGTATAGGAGAATCAACAATACGAATACGAAACAGGTTCTCCGAGCATGTATAGAAGAATCAATAATCGGAACAAGAAATATGTTATCCGTGCATGTATAGAATAACCGGTAATACGAACACGAGACATGTTATCCAAACATGTATAGAATAACCGGTAATACAAACACGAGACATGTTATCCGGATATGTATAGAAGAATCAACAATACGAACACAAGACATGTTATCCAAACATGTATAGAAGAATCAACAATACGAACACAAGACATGTTATCCAAACATGTATAGAAGAATCAACAATACGAATACGAAACAGGTTCTCCGAGCATGTATAGAAGAATCAACAATACGAACACGAGACATATTATCTAAACATGTATAGAAAAATCAATAATACGAACACGAGACATGTTATCCGGGCATGTATAAAAGAATCAACAATACGAACACAAGACATATTATGTAAACATGTATAGAAAAATCAATAATACGAACACGAGACATGTTATCCAAACATGTATAGAAGAATCAACAATACGAACACGAGACATGTTATCCGGGCATGTATAAAAGAATCAATAATACGAACACGAGACGTATTATCGAAACATGTATAGAAGAATCAACAATACGAACACGAGACATGTTATCCAAACATGTATAGAAGAATCAACAATACGAACACGAGACATGTTATCCGGGCATGTATAGAAGAATCAATAATACGAACACAAGACATATTATCCAAACATATATAGAAAAAATCAATAATACGAACACAAGACATATTATACAAGCATGTATAGAAAAATTAGTAATAAGAACACAATACATGTTATCCAAGCATGTATGAAACAATCAATAATACAGTCACGAGACACGTCATCAGGCATTTACGCATGTTGGATAGGTTGTATATGAGAATCAGTGCGTGTATGTTTGGACCAATAATTCAAACATGTAAAAAAATAAAACTTTATTTTACATGCATAACGTCACCTTTCGCGTAGCTCAGCTATAGCATGTCTGTATTTGTTTCGTAGCTCAGCTATAGCATGCCTGTATTTGTTTCGTAGCTCAGCTATAGCATGCCTCTATTGGTTTCGTAGCTCAGCTTTAGCATGCCTGTATTTGTTTCGTAGCTCAGCTATAGCATGCCTGTATTTGTTTCGTAGCTCAGCTATAGCATGCCTGTATTTGTTTCGTAGCTCAGCTTTAGCATGCCTGTATTTGTTTCGTAGCTCAGATTCATCATGTCTGTATTTGTTTCATAGCTCAGATTCAGCATGTCTGTATTGGTTTCGTAGCTCAGCTTCAGCATGCCTATATTCGTTTCGGAGCTCAGATTCAGCATGTCTGTATTTGTTTCATAGCTCAGATTCAGCATGCCTCTATTGGTTTCGTAGCTCAGATTCAGCATGTCTGTATTGGTTTCGTAGCTCAGCTTCAGCATGCCTCTATTGGTTTTGGAGCTCAGATTCAGCATGCCTGTATTTGTTTTCTTACCTGGTATACTCGACCATTGACCATGCAAACGGCTTTACTCTCCTCCGGCTCTCGACACCTGTAGCAACACTGGTCAGGCAAAAGTTCTTGGAATTCTGGAGGACAATGGACAGGAGGGCATACTGTCCTTTGGCAAATTGTGGTGGCATTCTGTAGGAATAAAGAAAAAACAAGTGCAAGGATGATTTACCAATAGATTTTTTGAGGGTTTATTCTGAATACTTGTATTAATTAAATTGAAAGAACTATCAGGGTAAGTGTACGATTTTTGTTAGGACTATCTATTTTTTTTTTATAATATGAAACATTGCCTTGAGCGAATACAGCAGCATTGTTTTTAAATCGGTCAAAAAGTTTAACAATATTTTTGTATCTAATTATTAGCGTTTTAACATATTGATTATGTTACTTTGTATGACTTCAAAGCTATGTTCCAAGGACATAGATATACTGATAACTTTTAAGAAATATGTTATAACGATGAAACTCATGCCCTCTTTTTTTAGTGAGTCGGATCTACAATTCCAAATAATTAACCTTGAGGATTTACCTTATAAATCCTAGTACGCCTTGTTACGCATATATAAGTACATAATTTAAACGAATAGAAAAATATCCTGACTTATAAAATAAAATGTCAAGATGTTTGGAACGTTTTAGTTTATATAAACCAACTACTGCAAGAAACATAAGTTGAATCTGTTTCATCCGAAACATGTAAGGTTCTAAATGTACAATTACAAATGCTACTCACGTCACAAGTGCAGTGGGTGCAATAGTCCAGTGCTATCTTTTGCTTATTTCTGATCGAAGTCATTCCGACCAAACAGCGACCATTGAAGTCGTATATTTTCCGATTTCCTAAAAAACAAACAAACATAAAGATAAATCTGGGGTATATTAGGTCGCCAAGAAATTAAT